GCCATACAGCTGCTCTGCCCCTCTTCCAGTTTCCCAATGTGGTTTTCGAAGTTTCAGTTTCGGAGGCTGTATTTAGGTAGCTCGGGCGGTCAGTGAACAAATAACAAAATAAATTGTAGAAAAAAACGGTACCACAACAACCAAATATACTTCAGAAAACCAGATGAGTGGGAGAAGTAAATGAGCCGGTGTTAGCACAAAAAAATATATGTTTAGAGAGATCAGAAACATGATTTTGCACAATGCATCCGTAGTCATTTCGTTAAATCTATACACTTGCATATTGCAATCAATGTGATTTTCTTAGTGAACTAACCGTGAGAGGATGATAGGGTTGCTGTTACAGCAGACAACGCCGAAAACGAAAGAGGCTTGAGGTCGATCACCAAGGCTAATGTGAGATAGAGGAGCAGTTACGTCACCGAATGGTCGAACACATCCTGGTCTGACTTGAGAAAGCGATGGACGACAAGCTTGTAACCGTTGCGTCATCAAATGGTCAGAAAATACTCAGATCTTCGATCATGCAACATCCATTGGAACGAAAACATTGTGTCAATCCAACCTCACTCACTTTAAGTCATTTACAACACGACAAACAAATCTACTGAAATCTCGGAATCATTCCTTCCCTTTGATCCATTTGAATTGAACAAGTAACAATATGAGCAGAACTGATATTGGCCATTAATTTCACGTACTCTCAATCCACTGTCCACGCACATTAAATAGGTAGGAGATTGACATACCTACGTCGGTTCAAGCGGAAAGAGCTTGGTTGTTGAGTCATTTAGAGGTGAGTGAACGAGGTGGGTGGATAATGATTTCAAATATTCAGAGCAAAGGATACTAGCATAGCAACAGTTACGTAATGGAAAGCGATTGACCGTGGAGCAAAGATAGTCGAAAAGGGTTACGTAATATCAAATAGATAAAGCCACAGATGAATTAGAACGGATGTAGAAAGGTAACGGACTAGAAAATTGGTCATTTAAGTGGGTCAAAAAGAATTACGTAATATGGGAATAAGAAATATGAAGTATCAAGTTTGGGGTAGGTGAACGGTTGAGATGATGACGGGAAGGGGATATAAACAACAGTTGCCCTGGCAATAGAAACTGCACCATAAAGGCCTTTTGCAAACACAAGTCAGCCTTTAAAATGATTAATGACAACGGTTTCGGCAAACCTGAGTGTTCTTGGGCTTCACAATTTGAGGATAATGCGAAAACCTTTGCGTTTGTCAATACAATGTTCGGTATGCATCAAGTGTCGTACCACAACGCTGGCTGAAAGATTTCCTCCCCAAAGTGATAAGTTTTTCTGAAAATGCTCACTCATTCTGGTCAACAGCCGGCGTTTCCGTGATTGGTCGAGACTCTAGTCATTCATGCTCACATGCCCGATCTATACAAACAACGCGAATCGTTGGTCACATTGGCTTTACCTTGGTGATTGATCCCCTACTCTCTTTCGTTTTTCGTCTTGTTATATAGTGTTACCTGTTGTAATTGGCAATCTTGTCTTAGCTCTGCGTGTTTTATTTCACTGGCTATGAAAATCAACTTGATTACAGTATGCACGTACACTGTGCAAACCCCATGTTTCTGATTTCTCTATTCAGATTTGCGACAAGAAAACAGTGTTTTCAGTTTCTCAAACACTACGTTATATCAGTATAATTTCCCAATAGCTGTTTAAACTGATCCCAAAGATCCACAATCAAAAGGGTAACGACTGCTAGGTGAAAAACGCATGCCAAACAAAGCTGACGGGGTTAGAAACATCATTGTGGAGTAATGTGTAACTGCTGAGTAAAGAAAAGGAACGCTATCACGATGTAAGTTTATTATGGTTGCGACACGTGTAAGAATTCCATTCTTGGAACTGTGAAAACGGTGTTCGTTGAGTGCATGATTCATTCATGCGCACGTCGGTGGACGGGCATATAATTCAGTCGAATCTGTATAATGGCAAATTATGTAAATACACAATCCGCTGGCCTACTTACATGCTGTTGCATTCATAAAGCGATGGCACAGAGAAGCAGCCGGGAAACGCTGTAGCAGTAATTTACCAAAAGGATCTCGGATGAGACATTAAAAGAGACTACGCCACCGATAACCATCTCCCTCACATTTGAGAGCTGAAGTATTTTCAGTTTTGAGGAGCAGTTATAATAATTGTTATAATATAAATCTTACGTGTGTATGAAATAACCTACATGCTCACTGTGAGCTTTCATGTTCAACCGCGCAGATATCACTACCCCCAAAATATACCTTTTAGCTTAGAATTGGTGACAATGTTTGACACAACAGCTAAATGCTGAATACAATGCAAAATCAGTACGAATACCTTATGCTGTTCCAATCAGATATCGAGCGTTCTCAAACATTAACTCAAGGGCATAAAAATCTGTAATGCCATCCGTGATCTATCGGCTTGAACAGCACTAATACCTCTGTCATTGTGTTCATTGTAGCCATAATTCATTCCTAATGGATGATTCCGGTGACATTCTACTTCCGCCATCCGCATTTTGCGTGACAGATGTCACCTCATCGAATACAGATCGTTCTTCTCCGGATATTTACAAGAAAATGTCGTTCGGGAAGCACTCAGATGATCTATTGTCTTCCGGAAAGATGCCCCCTTGGAGAACGAATGATCCCGAGTAAGTCTGCCTTAGCTCTTTTTTCCACTCTGAAACTTGCCCGTTATATCCAGTCGTCGAACTATCGCTGGTCTCCTCTACTACGTATAAATGGAAGTAAACTCGTGTTTCATTTGAATACTATATGCTGTTTATTGACCACTAGGATAGTCGAAAGATAGGTCTTCAGCCACACGTATCCATCCATATCTGTGGAACGTTCCAGTTAATCGCTTTCCTTGAATATCAGTTACTGGAGTGATAGAGTTTGGATGTCGATCACAATTACTTTGCGCTCTTTTTACATTAATCTGTAAACGAAATAGGAGAAAACTGGATTAGCGTTGAAGAGCTGGTTGATTTTAATAGCATGCTGAGCCCCGGAGGTGGTAGCTTGGAGGATGCTTGGACTTTCTCGCATGTACTTAGCACCATGTATTTAAGAATAACGTTGGTGACACTTGTACTTCAGAGAGATTAACATCCATAAAAGAAAGATCAGCTTAACACAGTCATTAAAGTACCTTTGTGTGAATACTTAAATGAAAAGTAGCTGACTTTAACCATAAATCGAGCAACTTTACTGTGCTGTATTTTCTTTTCAAAGCTGTGTAACTTTTAGGTAAGATTGAAAATTTGAATGTTAATGAAAAACAAAAAAACAGGGTGGTAATGCTTGCAGAATTTCGCCCCTCATGGAGCACATGGTCGAATAAACTTCCTTTTTGCAATACAGTACACTTTCAGAATCCTCAAATGACGATGAGCCCTTCTGTTACGATATATCAGCCATAGTCAATTCAGACAGATAAAAAACTGCATACATTTCTTGGTGCACTGGTGAATGGAAGTTTCCCGGGCACACTCCGCCATAGATTCACAGTACTAGATTGTTTCAGACTCGTGTGTTCAGCTGAGATAGACGTGACGTCAAAGCCAGCAGTCTGAAAAATTATTGGGTCTGTTGGAGAAGTATGTGGTTCGAGGCTAGTATGACACCCTACTTATGGCTAGGACAACCGTGATCAGGTCGAAGTTGGTCGTGGTTCTGAAAATACATCTTTTTACTATGTTGACGGCAAAATGGCATGTCAGTGCCCGTATTAAGTTCAGTGTCGGTCAAGCTAGTTTCCGTTTCATTGAAGTAGTGATTGTCATGTGGTTCTTCGTGTGTAGTGAAACTAATAAACTGTAGGAACTCTTCACAGTACTTACTGGTCAACAGTAAGCGTTCATCGGAGTTCATTGTGCATTGTGTATAACAAAAAACAACAGAGCAACTGCGATTGCATGGAAGAGTTCCAACCTCCTTACCATTCGTTGCAAACCCTTGCAAACCTTGTTTGGTTACAAGCGATATATATGATGAACTATTGCTTCCAAGTTATAATAACATATTCTATTAAGAAGTTTTTTCCCTCTTTCCGTTTCAAAAGGACCTCAGTTACCCGAGCGACAAAGGTATCTGTCCGGTTTAATTCGGCCACAAAAAATTGTGCCACTCTGGTTCATTATACTACAAGGTCTTCGCCGGATGTGAGCAATTGTGATTAGAGATTTTTCATTTTAGTTTTATTCTTCAGCGGATTGATCCATTTGTCTC